ACGCATTGTCACCGTCGCTTACATTCCTCCTTGTTGCGATCGTCAAGCGTCATCATCGTCAACGAATCCACGTCATCAACCGTTTCATCAGGTTGTGACGCACAATTGTGTTGTCACTGTCCTCAACGCCCCCCCCCCCCCCCCCCCCCGTGATGTCCCCCGCTTTACATTCCTCATCGATGGAATCGCTGTCAAGGTCAGCGTCGTCACCCTCGCTTACATTCCTCCATCGCTTTGGACCTGATCAAGCGATCACGCAGTCGTCACGAATCGTCATCAACCGTCATCAGTTGCTGACACATCAAATCTGCAACCCGTTCATCAGCGTGTCGCGCCCGTGTCACCCTCGCTTACCATTCTCACTTCGTCGAGATCCGGTCTCCGCAGTTCATGACCCCCGTCACACTTCAGCTGAGCGGCACACACGCCGCTCGTCCTGCACTGCAGTCTCGTCGGCCCACAGCTGCCTCAGGCGACGCCATGCGACGTAGGATGGCAAGGTTGTCGTAGACGCTGAAACACGGAGAACGCGTTACAGAGCGGCGCTCATCGACGTGCCCGACACGTGTGCGACTTCGCCGCAGGATACAAACTCGTGCGACCGACGAAGATTGATTGCTGCTTTTCGTTTTTCGTTTACCTTTAACTGTTAATTTTGCGCATCGCTCGGCGCATGTGATCCTAGCTTGCCCATTTTTAAATATAGGCCTAAATACAGGTCGTCTTATTCTGTTTGTTCTGCTTTCTTTTGTGTTGTTTTTTGATTGGAAATGCCCCCCCCCACCCCAACGTTTCTCAGCGGACCTGAAAACACCTGTATTACGCGGCCTCAGATTCCATCGAGTGGCGCCACCTACAAGCAGTTTTTGTTCGTCTGATTCCGATCACGGGCAGTCTGTCCTCGTTCGCCGTCGCAAACATAAGACGCGTAGAATGCACTGATGTAGCTTCGAGCACACAGGAACTGGTAAGTCGTTTGCACGTCACAGTGAGGTGCCTGACGATGTGAAGAAACAACACGAGAAAACGTTAAAAAAACTGTCACTGTGCGCCATGAATAAAACGAAATCGCGCGGTCAAAATTTAACACTCGACGGTTAAAATGGGGCTGGTGCATTCTGCAAAGACCTTGATATTTTACGATTCTTTATCCCCATTTTTATCATTCCAAGGTTAGATTGTTAGGCAAGGCGAATTCATCCTGCCGTTAGATGTAGGTAATGGAATCATCCGGTGGTTTGATGATAGGTAATTGGAATCATCCTTGGTATTCAGATGAGGTACGGGGATCATCCGGTGGTTATGATGTTAGGTAACGGGGAATCATCCGTTGGTTTAGATGTAGCGTAGGGAATCATCTGTGGTTAATGTTATGGTAAGGGAATCATCCGTGTCGTTAGATGTAGGTAAGGAATCATCCGTTGGCTCAGATGTAGGTACGGGCAATCATCCATGGTTTAGATGATAGGTAGGCGGGAATCATCTGTTTGGTTAGCATGTAGTAACGGGAATCATCCAATGTTGGTATAGATGTAGCGTTAGGGAACCATCCGTGAGTTAGCATGTACGGTAGGGGAATTCAATCCGTGGTTAGATGTAGTTAGGGGAATTCATCCGTTGGTTAGATGTAGTATGGGAATAATCTTTGGTTAGATGATAGGTAGCGGGAAATCATCCTGTGGTTAGATGTAGCGTTAACGGAGAATCATCCGTGGTAGATGTAGGTAGGGGGAATCATCCATGCGTTAGATGTAGGTAAGGGCAATCTCGTGGATTAGATGATAGGTTAGGGAAATCATCCGTGGTATAATGTAGGCTAACGGGAATCAATCCGTGCGTTAGATGTGGTAAGGAGAATCACCGTGTGTTTTAGATGTAGCTAAGGGAATCAATCGTTCAGCGCTTACGATGTAGGGGTAGCGATGGGAATCATCCAGTTGTTAGATGTAGGATAAGTGGGAACCATCCGTGGTTACGATGTAGGTAGGGGAATCATCTCGCGTGGTTAGATGTAGGTTAGCGCGGAATCGATCCGTGCGTTAGATGTAGGTTAGGGGAACCAACCTGTGGTATGATGTAGGTAGCGGGAATCATCCGCTGGTTTAGATGTAGGCTGTTAGGAATAATCCTGTTGACGTTAGATGGTAGGTAGAGGAATCAATCGTGCGTTAGATGTAGGTAAGGGAATCATCCGTTGGTTAGACTGTTAGGTAATCGGATACCATTCCGTCGGTTAGATGTTTTAGGTTAAGCGGAATCATCCGTGTGCTTAGATTGTAGATAGGGGAATCATCTGTGGTTAGCATGTAGGCTAGCAGAGAATTATTCCGTGGTTAAGATTGTAAGGTAGGGAATCGATCCTGTGGCTAGATGTTACCGGTAAGGGGAATCATCCGTGGTTTAGATGTAGCGCTTAGGGGAATCATTCCATGGTTTGATGTAGGTAGGGAGAATTCATCCGTGGTTAGATGTA